CGAGCCAGAACTGAAATTCAGCACCGTTGGCACTTTCTTTATCGTTGCCAAGCCCCAAGCCCCAAGTCCCAAGCCCAAAGCGGGACACAGGGGGGCTGACCAGAACGAACACAGTAAAAGAGCAAGCGGAATATATTTTCTAAGTAAAATTTATTTATTGTGTATAAATAATTCTCTTTTAGCTCTCGCACAAGCGCTATTAACGTTAGTAATTTACAGTTTGCTCTGCGGTCCTCGTCGCCGAACCAGGGACATGCAGTCGGATCTCCAGGCGACTTTTGGTGGGATCTGGGATGATCCCCCGCACTCCCACTGTAACCACTGGATGTCACTGGTTGGCTGGGCGGAGTAAAGCAAACGAAACATAACGGCACAAATAGTTGGCTTAAACAATTACAATAACAATTGTGGAATATATAAATTTGCATACAGGCTAAAAGTGAAGTGGTCCCATCTCCACTAGCATAGCTCCCACTTCACTTACGTTCGTATTCGTAATTTAGTTAGAAATTAGATTTCTTGTACTTGTTGAACATTGTTTGCTTTAGTGTTGTGTTGCAGTTCCCATAGCGATCTATCCAATATATATATACGAAAATCAATTGTAAAGAAGAGGGATATTTGGGTCGGTGACGCCGCTGCGCCGTGGAGAACTTTTTGACTTGGGCGCAGTGGAGCCCCGACGGGTACTGTGATTTTTGACTTTGGTTCCCCTTAAAACCCATAAGAGAGATACAACGAAGAGGTTACAATTTTTACAATAGAACGCTTGTTGATTTGTTGCTTTAGGCGCTGCTTTATCCACTACTATATCTACCAGTTATTTATCATCCTCAGTTATACATTTATACAATCCTCATGCACACATACGATTCTCATATGTCTTGCTTAGCACCCCCTCAAGATACATATACATATACATAATCATATACATAGATATAGATATTTTGATACAGTTATAGTTAAAGTTACAAAAAGACCTCACACTTGATACTAATGAGTGTAAAGACCCGCCCGCGACTATGGTATGAAGTTACCCCGACCAGCTCGAAAGGAAGTGATAGTGTAGGTGTAGGAGTAGGTAAAAGAGGGTCGAGAAGGCGTTGAGTTGGCGGTCCTAGACGGGCCCAATATCACTTTGGTATCTGGCGGTCAGGTAGTTGGCCGCCTCTGTCATTTGTTCTAGGCACTGGTACAGACCGTTTAGATGCCTCCGGCAGCGCTTGGCCAGCTCCGTGGCCTTGTCCCCGGAGCCCTGCTTCGATTTGGCGACGTCCACGATGTCGCTGCCGTCGCTGCTTTGGGCGTTGTCGCTTTTGTTGCCGTCGGACTCTAGCCCAGAGTCGTTTTCCTGCGATATGTCCGAGTCAGAGTCACTCATGTTGCTCACCGAGTTGGTGGACATCATCGAGGCGGTAGAGGTACGGCGCACATGGCCCTTGACACTGCCGGAAGCGGCTGTGCTTGGAGTGCCGCTGTTGGACTCAGTCTTGCTCTCGCTAGGATTGCAGCTCGAAGTGGAACTGGAGCTGGCGTTGGGCTGCTGCTGCTGTTGGGGGTGCAACTGCTCGTCGTCCTCCTGGTTGGCGGTCCAAAGCAGATCTTTTTTCAGCGAGTTGAGCATGTTGTACAGATTGAACAACTCGGAGGCGCTGAGAAAGTCCTGGACATTTTTCGATTGCGACGCTCCCCGCTTGCCGTGGGCACTGGAGCTCTGTGTCAGCTGGTTGGCGGTCGAGTCCTTGCCGGTGGCTGGGATGATGTCAGTGCTGTCGCCGATCTGGGGATAAATTATGCAAAGTGGGAGCCATCAGTTGTTGGTTGCGATCCAGATGGCTGGTCAAACGGGGGGCTATGGTTTTTTGGTTATGCGGTACCAACCTGTCGATCCATGAGCCTGCATGGCACCAGTATGGTGTCGTCCATAATGTTGACAGTTTTCACAAACTTCTCCATCACATTGACAATGCTGTCTTTGGAGAACTGCTGCTCATCGTGACGGGCAATGCGGCGCAGGCAGTTTCTGAAAAAACAGAACAATCGAAAGATGAGCTTGGGCCAGCGCACAGTAAACCAGTAGAGCGTGTGCAGGGGAACCAGTTTGGATTGGACAATAGTCTGCGTGATTGGTGACCATGCTACCTCACGCCAGACTGGACCAAGCGCGGATCGTTCTACAGCGTCGTTAAGTCTGCCGCGATCAGACTTCCGCCACTCGAAACCATCTTTCTTTGAAGCTTTCGGCTGGAGAAGGGTGCGCCTCCCCGCTGGCCAACGTGGCGTATGATATATATGAATTGGTTTCTATGCAAATCAGCGATTCGCTGCCGTTGTCGCAAATTCAATTTGTATAAAATAGAAAACCAGTTGGTGCTTTATACCTGACAGTGCTCGTGTGGCTCTTAAAACAAAGCCCAGACGGACGGACAGAAAGATTTCTATTTTGGTTTCCGAAGCCAATTTAACGCGTCCACGTGCTGTCGGGGGCCAGATGGTGGTGGGGTGCGGAGGGCGAAGCCCGACTTTGCTCACTAGCTTCAAAATAATGGTTATACAATCCTAGCTAGTCTCATTAACTTTAATTTCACGAAAAGATCGCGTAACATCGCCAGGTCAAGCCCCATAAACTTGCTGAGCCCCCTCCATTAACCCGCCGGGAATGGAAGTTAGTCGTTGATATCTGGAGCTGGAGCGGCCAAAGTCTAGAGGCGGCTTGGCTTATCGTCGCCAGACGGTTCCCAGACGGAGCTGTAGTTGCGTATCTCCCGCACCTCTCATTTAATGCGGCCAGATTGCCCGGGGCGGAGCGGAACGGCATGTGGGCAGCCAGTGCGGGGCCGCGTGATCGCAGCTAGTTGACAGAGCGAGCGCCGAGCGCACTGATAAATTTAGTTTCAGTGACTGCGCCATTTAAAGACCTCTACCCTACAGTACTATCCCTGGCCGCGCTCGCCCCCGGTGCCATGGCTAGCAAACTTAGAAAATCTAGATATCGATGAATGAAGTGTAACGCGCGGCTGGCCGAGGTGGGGGTGGCCACGCGGGTACTGCGTGCTCCGAGCTCTGCTGACCGAGATTGTCTGACTGTGGTCTAGAACCAGAATAAGGTCTAGACCTAGAAGAAGCTGGCGGCGGGTGTCAAGGTTCTTTCCACTGGCACGGCCAGATGTCGTGGACGTCGACGGAAGATTCCCAGCCACTCAACCAAGTGACTAATTAAGCTAATTGCAGCGGACTCCAATCATGGAATCCGCGTAGGAATGCGAAAACAATTACCATCTTATCAACGCTTTTCGCTTGGACACACGACCGTAATTGATTGCAATCTCGTGGAAACCTGAGTAATCGCCTCCATTTATTTGCCATTATAGTTATTAACTCTCCCTGACCACGACCCTAGCTTTGCATAGATATTCGGATTTACAACAATCAGAACCCGCTCAAAGCTGGCCACACGCTGGTTGCACTTATTACTGCATCTTTGGAGGGCGCTATTGACCTTTCCTTTTCTGGGGATTCCTTTGACAGATCCCGAGAGCCCAAAAACGCCGGCTTGGGCAACACGCCACATGCTGCCAGCCAGTAGGCATGGGCACACCTGCGGGTGTGTTACTGTTACTCCTTGCCTTGTGTGGGAATTTGGCTAAGCCCAACCAGCGTCACGCGACATGCGCGCCAAGGAGGGCGGAGTAAGCGGTGGGGTGGGTACCGCATACAACGTCGAAATCAGGCGACTTTTTCGCTCAGCGGCCGCTGAGGGCGGTGAAGGGGTGGTGGTTAATGGATTGGTGGGTGGCTGATGCCGATGCCGAGCTGGCTTGATGTGGCAAGCGAATCAAACGCTTCTCTTCGCGCTCTCTCTTCGGAGCGCGCTGTTTTCTCTTTGCTGCCGAGTGGCGTGATGTTGCCCAGAAACTGTACAGTGGCCAGAGTCGCCTCCATCAGCTGAGCAAGATGAATGAATCGCTGGCGATGCTCTGCCCTCCCCTGCACGCCCCTCCCCTCCGCGACCGTGTTTAGTGGTATTTCTCGTATTTGCAATGTTGAGCAACGGCACATACATAAGCATACATATACATATGTATATACATACGCAGTCTTTGAACCGAGTTGACCAATATTTGGTTTACTTTGGCTTGGGCTGCGCGCGACCTCCAGCATAATCGATTTTTGATACGCCCGCAAATTAGATATTCTACCTACTCGGTGGCCGGGTTGGCTGTTTTGGCCGGATTGGCTCGACCATCGGGCAACGCGCATTGGCGGCCGTAAGTTGGCGCTCAAGGCGACACCTGCCTCAAAAAGTGACACACTGCCAGCGGAACGAGGTGAATCAGAGAATTTTCTGCGATTTAAGCGGCCCAAGGAGGCAGACAGCACTAGATGCGATGAGTAATGGGCATAGCCGATAGCTGGCGGACTGGTGTCAGTGGGCCGGAGGAGCGCTACAGATAAGGCATCTTATCGCTTATCCGAAAGCTGTGATTTCCCTCCGCTGGCTCACTCGAAACATTTGGGCAAACAAACGGCTAAAAGCACCAACATACTTCTGTATAGGTGTACAATATATAGCCGATTGTGTCATATTAGCGCTGGCTTGGTTTTATTTGTGTTGTATTTTTCTTTCGTGTTTGAATGGCCGCCCGTCCCTCTGTCCAACGAAAAATCGTACGATAAATTTCTTGTATCTCGTTTTTCGTTCGGCGGTGGCGGTGGCAGTGCAAACGAAAGAGAAAACGCACGCGGGGTGCGGTTTGGATTCAATTTGAGAGGCGAGTAAATCAACGGAAGAGAGCGATTCGTATTCGGATTCGTATGAGATGGTGGAGAGGGCGGTGCGGGGCTTGGGCGGATCGGGAATTGGAACGGGAGGGGGGATCAATTTAGCATCACTTGGGCAAATTGAACTTAAACGCTTTAACTAGCGGACTCGGATTCCGACTTACCGACTTGTCTCCAGCTTGGTGAGGTCTGTGTATCCACTCATGATGACTTCTGTGTGTTCCGGATGACTACGTACTACTGTTGGTGCAAATATGTAGTTCGAGAAATTTTCTTTGGCCGCACCAACACTCGCGCACTTTCACTCGCGTTTGGAATCGGAGTATTCCTGACTGGGATTACGAAATCGGCACAGGTGACTGCGACGGCTTCAGCTCGCTTGCTTGGATTGGGTTGGATTCGGAATAGGAGTAGCTGCTGCCCCGGCGGAACTGCTGTGTCTAGTGCGCTGCCTCCAAGAAGTCGCGGCTGTTTTATGCCAAAAATTTGCATGCACGCACCGAGCTCGATTAGACCCCGACTTTGGTTTGGCTGTGGCCGCCGATCTCATCCGAACCAATTAAATATGGGAATTCTAAGTAGTCTGCACGCGCACTGAGTTTAATTTAATTTCAGTTTCAGTTTCGACACGAGCAGCCAACGAGAAGAATTTTGAAAAAAATTACGGAGAGGGGAGCGTTGCCAGTTGCTTTTATAGTACAGGCCGAGCCAGGGCTGCAGAGGCTCCGGTAGGACTATCGATACTCAGTTCGTGGCAATCGATGTGCCATCAGCTGTCATGTTAAGTGTGGCAGCACAGGTTAACGATGTTAAGCAGTGATTCGAAAATGTTTAAATTTACTTTGGTTGTTTTGCGGAAAAATAACGAACGTTGCACAGTACTTTTTATCATTACTTGGTTCTTTATTGATATAACTGATTTTTAGTACAGAAATTCAACAGAATTGACGTCGAACAAAAATAAGTTTATTTCAAGATTTTGATTACAAAATAGATAATAGGATAAAGTCTATTATAGCCAGAACGTAATACCCTGTAGGGGTCATGCATGTCAATAATTTAAACTTAGGGGTAAGTAGTTTCTAGTGAATCTGCTTGGAACAGAGAACCAATTCGGGACTATCAACTTCGCCACGAATCAGTTGATGATAATTTATTATTAGATTCATTTAGATTACTAAATATTAATTAAAATATTGATTAATAAATAACAAAATTACAGTCAACTTAAATTTAGGCACAATTTGGGACTACATTTCAAATGCCCGTGTAAGGAGTTGCACAGTTTGGTTCTTAAACTTCCATTTCTCAATCAATCAATTTTAACCAAGCAAAATGTTGAGCGTCACAAATAGTAATACTTAACTGAAAGATATTAAAGATTCTGGATTCCAAGACGGATTTTGAACTTGTTCTAATAGCGTTGACAGGAGCGTTCCCCGCGAACGGAAATATAAGGGGTCTTCCTTCGTGTATTTTGTCCCTTCATCCCATTTCGTCCCACATTTCTTTCGTTTTTGTGACCTAAGAAACGAACAGGCTATAAATAAAGACAGGTTCGAGCTTCAACTACTAGAAGGCTTACTAAATCCCCGAAGAACGAGACGCGTCAAAGTATGCTTCTGGCGGATGCCGGCGCCCCTAAGCGCACCTAGAAACCGTTGGACGCACCTGTACATTTCGCTAACCTGGACCTTGGTCAAATCGTGGAGCATGTTCAGCTCGGGATCCCAAAAGAAGGGAAGAACTCCCCGCTTCAAGTGCTCCGCCAGATCTTCGAACATCTGTAGGATTTTATTTGGATTTTATTATGACCTTTGTCGCTTTACCGAAGGCACTTCATGCTTACATCGTCCAAAATGACTAAGAGCGCCTTCTTCCAGTACGACTCTGGTTCCTGCTTAATTTTCCAAAGAAATAAAGTTTTAATATAATAGCTCTTAAGATGGCCCAAGTTAGTTTTTACATCGCGAAATTTTTTCATAACCCTGATTGCATTCCGGCAATTCTTGTGCTTAGTTAGCAGCATTAATTTCTCCGCGGAGTAAAAGGAGGAGCGAAAGGATATGCTGCTGGTCTCAGTTTGGATTTTCAGAGGCTTGGGAACCGCCTCCCAGTAAAGTAAATCGGCGCGGTTGTAGTACATCAGCTGCTCCGTGAGCAACACGTTCTGTTTGGCCGCCAAACGGATGGCGGGTACGAAGTCGACAGAGTACTCATAGTCACCATACACGACGATGGTGTGGGCCGGCCCACAAGTCCTATATTTCAGCTGGGACACGACGCCGTCAGCCAGCTCCACGCGATATGCTATCCGGTTGAGTGCTTGGCTGAACAAGCTCTGGAGCCACGAACGGAGCTTGTCCACGACGAGAAAGTTTTGCGCGTCCACGAGTTGAATCTGAAGCAGTTTCCGAATGCCCTGATAGTCCTCGCGGGGATCGTTCTCGAGGAGCTCCAACACGCGCGTCATATCCAGTAGTACGTTGCCCGGAATTTTCGGATCACGCGTCACGGCGATGCTTTCGTAGTACGGAAATTGTAACTTAAATACCAAATCAAATTCGTTGGGTTTCGCGATCTTTATATTATCTCCTACGCTTCCTGGGGAATATAAACCACGGCAATATAAGTAGCGAAAAAACGAGCTCCGAGAAAGGACGAACGGGAACGAGAGGAAAACGAATACGCGGCGCGGTTCACTATTACGACCGGACTGTAACAGTTTTGCTTTAAAGTTTTACTTTTACTGATAACGCGCTACCACAATACTCTGTTTATGATGATGAGTCAGGGCGATAAGGGATTGGATGGATAGATGTGGATTATTTTCGGTTCAAGTTAAAGGCCCAATGTCCCGTGCACTTGCCTCCTGAGGATCCACCAGGAACGGCTACCCAAACCTACCTTCCAAACAATACTCAGCGATGAGGATGTCCAGCTGTGAACTCTCCGATTTCAGTATTCCGAAAATTATTGACTGCAGTGCTTCAAAGTGCTTACCATATCTTTCCTTCTCGTGCTTCCTGATGTCAATGTACTTACTTTTGCATTTAAATAGGATTTGGCCCACATCCTCTTGAAACATTTTTAGTTGTATGTAGTGTAAATATGATATATTTATTATATTTAGCCTGATGTCCAAAGACTAACCGAATGAATTGCAAGAGCAATGGTTGACTACCCGGATCCGCTGGAACGAAACTGGTAGCTTTTTTTTAGAATCGATTAATACTAAAAAATTATTCATTTTAATTTTTTTTTTCGCAAGTTATCAACGAACAATTAATCGAGTATCCGATTTAATTGAATTTTGTGGTGGCTTGAAGATTAAACTGCGGATCTGGACATTTAAAACGTGCAACACACCATTATACTCGTAGTTAATAAAGATTTTGCGATTTGGCAGCATTGGTCGGTCGATATATATTATCCATATATCATGCGTAAATAGTCCACCATAAACCTGAAACCAAAGGGCTGGGATATGGCGGTTATTAAAACGAGAGAAGTGGATATTTTTCATTTGATTTATCACTGTCTTTAATCTGAATTCACGAAGAAATGCAAAAGCTCAACGAATTTGGGTTCGGTAAAATTGAATTTTTGAATCGTTTGCAAACGATTGTTTGAAAATATTTAATTTTGAGATATGAGCAACGCTTAGTTCTTTAGTGGGCTATATTTTCTAAACTAAACAAAGATTAAGCAAACAGTTTTATTGCGATTAAAAAAAAATTAACTCTTTTACTTTCGAAAATCTTTTAAATTTCATAATTTTAAAACTGGACGTGGCCAAATGATTCCAGCTATCAAATTTCAAAAATTCGATCTTACCGAACCCAGCTTCAATAATTATGCAGGCAGTGATAAAATGCAAGTACCAACAAGACACAGAAAAGCAAATTCCCTTACGTTACGACTGGTCACAGATGACAACCATTAAGAAGCATGCGTGTTTCACGTTTGTACAAAATCATTTCGGCCAAACCAAAGGTGTTTTATTCAGACGATAAACAGTACTATTAATATGGAGTACCTCGACTAGCGAGGCCGGACTGCTTAGTGACCCGCGGTGGCGGCCTTGGCAGCGATCTCGTCCTCCTTGGCGTGCAGGGCGATGAGCTCTTGCTTCTTGGTGGCGATACGCTCCTCGCGGCGCTTGCGGGCCTCGCGCACCTTCTGTCGGCGAGCCTCGGCCTGGTCAGCCAGCATCTTGCTGCGCTGCTTCTCAGCCTTCTTCTTGTGGATGTACTCCATCAGGACGCGCTTGTTCTTGAACACATTACCCTTGCACTTCATGTACAGGTCGTGGTACAGGTGCCTGTCAATCTTCTTGCTGTCGCGGTACTTCTTCAACAGGCGGCGCAGAACGCGCTGGCGCTGCATCCACAGCAGCTTGGTGGGCATGCGGGCATTCGCAGTACCCTTGCGCTTTCCGAATCCGCAGTGACGGCCCTTGCGACGGGCCTCGGTGTTCTTGCGCACACGGTAGCGGGAGTGGACCACGACGGGCTTCTTGATGATCAGACCATCCTTGATGAGCTTGCGGATGTTCTGACCTGGAATGGGATAAACACACAGTTAGCTGGGTTTACACTTCGTGTTGGACCATTTCTACTCACGCGAATTTGTGTTGGCGATCTCGTTGATTTCATTGGGATCCAACCAGACCTTCTTCTTGCCGCATCGCAGCACGGAGGCTGCGAGCCTCTTCTGGAGCTTTAGAGAACTGCAAAGGAGGGGTACTTGTTAGTCCATCATTTCGAAAGTAGCGTGCTGAGATGCGCCTGTTTGCTAGTGTGTGTGAGCGGCGCATTTTTTGGTTATTTCACAACTGCCCGAAAACAGAATTGCACTTGTCCGCCGGCAGCCGCAGTGGACGGCACGCATTCGCCCGGCACAGTTTGCAAACATTTGGCATTGCGAGCGCAACTTTTCGCTCATATTTACGAACACAAATCTACCTCATGCTGTCGACCTCGTCGTGGCTGGGAAAGAAAGAAAAATTTGACAGCCGGAAGTCAGCACCATTTTCTGGAGGGTGCTATCGATACATCGATAGCAAAATCGTGGGTCTGGCAGCTCCTCGAAAATCAACTAGTTCTGACGGGGTGGCAAGGCTTCTTTCAAAAATGATTGAATAACAAATAACTATTTTGTGCGGTTTCCAGCACTTTGCATGTGAAAAATTATGGCATATGTTTATTATCAAATTTTGTTATAGCAATTAAGTAACAAGGTTTGGTATATTTTAATGATCCATCTCCGGTCACACTAAGCTGGCGAAAACAAAACAAAAACAACTTTTAGGCCCAGTTGCATCTGCTTAAAGTGCAATTTTTACAATGCAGCACACGCTTAGACGCTGCCTGGGCATGGCCCGACTATCCCTGACGCGCTTGCAGCCCAGACCCACAGTGGCAGCCTCCAGGGGCCAGGAGGCCGGCCCCATCACCGCCTCCATATCGATGCCAACCCAACCGGCCAGTCGGTCCTTCGCCTCGCTGCCGCAGGAGCAAGACAAGAAGGAGCAGAAGGCCAGGGAGAGCCTCAACCGCCTGCCTCGCCTAATGGACTTCCCAGAAATCGTGTGGCCCTCTGCGCTGAACACGTTGAAGAATTGGATCACCATCCAGTTCATAATTCGTCCCTACTTCGACAGCGACTTTCAACTCAAGGAGTTCATATACGGCGCCAAGCAAGCCCTGCAGGTTCGTCACGCTCCGTCTAGCATAATCCGCACTGACTTTTTATCCCTGTTAGGTAGTCTCCTCAAAACTGATGGGCGGCGACCTAGACTCGCTGGACAATCTTGTCTCGCCCGAGGCTATCGCGGAGCTTAGGCCGGTAATCCAGAAACTGTCAATGACGCAGCGGAGGCAGCTGGAAATTAAGGAGAGCGACATATACCTTAGCTTCCCCTACCAAGTCGGCATTATGTTCGACGATGCCAACGACAAGCTGCAGAAGCGTTTCGTAGAGATCACCATGGTGTTTCACGTAATGCGTGGTCTATCCGAGATGCGGGAACGCGGCGAGGAGATACCCTGGAACATGGGGTAAGTTTGGACTGCCACTGGCCGAAAGCTATGTCCCTTCTGACTCGCATTTTTTGCAGAACCCTTCCCGAGTACCAGGACAAGGTGTTCATCTGCAACTACCGCTTTGTGAAAGAGTTCACCGCCGGGCAGCAATCGGACTGGACCGTAAATGTGGCCAACCAGTTTAGGGCCATCGACCTCATCAACGAGACCAAATAACATATGCTCATGACTACCATTATCCGCACTGTTCGCCGACTCATAGCTGATATTGGCATTAGGCACCGCCTTCGTTGGAATAAAAGTTTCGTTTGCCGCATTTAGGTATAAAAAACTAAAATCTTTACTTTGGATCTGTGATTTAAATAAGGTTCATGTAAAATGAGTGCATTTAGCAACAGATGCTGGACAAGCAAAGCGCTTAGTGTCCCTCATGCCTTGCTCTGTAGATGCCCTTGGGATCGTACTTGTTCAGGAGCAGCTTCCACTCGCCGGGTTTGTTGACGCGAAGGAAGGTGATTACCTTCTCGGAGTTTTTTCGCTGGACATCGGTGCACTTCGAGCAGTCGGATTGCAGAGCGTCGGGAAGCAGGCGCTTTAACTCACGGCCCTCCGCTGTGCATGGGCCCTTTTCCATCAGGCACTTGAGGTAATTATTCAATACTCGGTTGTTGCTTAGGACTTCATCCACGTTGACGTTATCAAACTTGTTAGTGTACTGCTGCTGAGAAGCGGCGGCCGCAAGACCGGCAACCACACAAAACACGAGAGCTAGCGAGGCTTTCATCTTGAAGGATTGTCTGGAACGGCGGATGAGAAATTCAAATAAACAAAGGTAATCTATGAAAAGCAATTCCTAAAATGGCAGTCTTTTGTTTGCCTGGTAAGCAGATAATTAGATGGCGTCAGTCAGTCTCGGCTTTAATGTGTTTTTCACGCATGTCGACAGAATCATCCAAAGCTCTCAGTGGTCTGCCCACCAGCTCATGCATTATTTATGACCCTTGGCATATATATCGCATATGCATACTAATTGGCGGTCGATTGGTTTTAATACTTGTTAAAAAGATTTCACAATTTCACCAACACCACGTCGACTTAGCTGCTTTCGACTTCATTGCGCCCCATACTCCAGTCCTTGCTGACCCGTGGCCAGCTGCTCGGTTTACGCAATCGCTGGTGGTGGCGCAGTTCTCCTCATATCCTCGGGTGCTCGGACTAGCCCGGTACAACCAAGCACGGCTTAGACAATGGCTTACTCACCTTTCTTCCGGTGGCTTTTGGTGACTCCTGTGCAGCTGTGGTGCGTTTAAAGGCGCAACTTGGATTGCGAGCAGTTTGCCCGCTGGCCTCGCTTTTATATCAGGAGCTTTGACGGCTCGTACACTGAGCGCAACGGTCAGCTCTCTGGCGGTCGGAGCTTTAGCAGGCGGGGAGCAGGCGGCGGCTTTGGCCAAAGTCGCGGCACAGTGTAGACCCAAAGCAGGCGAGCTGAACCGGATTTTCGATGACTGACTTAAGGTTTTTTCAGACGAATTTCGGCAAGTGGTCCGAGGCTCAGGCCAGCGGTTCAAAGGGTGGAGTGGAATGGGAGTTTTATCACAGATTTATCTCTACACCGGTCGTTTGTTTACCCATTCACGTACGAAATTCGTAGGAAAAGCATCGACGTACGTGAAAATTGAAATTTACATGTTGATTTTGCCAGTTGGTTTTAGTTGCTCCGAGACTCGCAGCTGTTAAATCGGCTCGGATCAGCTTGGAGTTGGTTTTCCAACTCTTTCCCGACTTAACGAGCGCATTCGGTAGTGCTAGAGTTGTTGGCGCTGTGTTGTAATCACTTTTATGCATTTCCATTTCCCTTTTAGTTATCTTTGGCGTCATGAATCGCACACACCAGTCTAGACTGAACCAGATTTCGAAAGCTCATCGGTCGGGGCGAGTGTTATTGGGTTTTGTTTTGGCGCACCCGACCGATTCCAACTGGTCTGCTCAGAAATCGGGATTTACCCCTGTCCAGGTGGACAATTCGAACAATTCGGACAAATCGGACATCTCGCTGGGGGTTTTCAGGCGGTGGTCCGCACTTGGAACTGATATCGCTAATGGAGCGCGGTTCAACTTGAAATTAGTAGTATGGTGGGGCAAACAATAATTGGCCATAAAGCCAAAATTCACTTCATACCCTCGTATAATTATGAGCATTTTACGACTCTGACGCAGGCGATTCTACTGATTGGCTGGCTCGGTGGATCAGCTCCGCTCCGTCTAGGCTTGGCGGTCAATAAATCACCAGCGTTGACTCTTCACCTGTGACATAACTCTCGTGCCAATTATACAAACAACTTTCAGCTTGTCCGCGTCCGCGGTGATTAACATTTAAATTGGGGCATCCTTAGCCCCGAGCGCTGGGGGTTCGCATCGATTTATGCAAATCGCGAGTGCTCGATCGCAAAGGAAAAAACTCCCGGACGCGGTGCTTGGCGGCGGGGTTAACGGGTCCGACAGGTCCAAGGGGCAAAGGGGCCAAGGCTATCTTACCTTGAAGTCGGACAGGGCATCAGCACCGCAGCCAGGGAAGATCATGAGACATGTGCAAAAGTTCAGGTTCAGGAAGGAGAAGGAGAAGTAAGCGAGGCAAACAAAAGTAAACAAACCGCAAAATCCACAACAACGGCGGCTCAGAGGCTGAAGAAATACTAACAATAAAAAGTAAATGCACAGATTGTATAAAACGCAAAATAAATCTTCGCTACGTGCCCAAGTTTTCAGTGTCATGCCGCACGGCACAAGAGGCGGGGCGAATCAAACAGAGCCGCGACCTCAAACTGCCTGTTTGGTGACGGAGGCGGAGGCGGCAGTGGAGCGCTTGGACCTGGCCGTCCGGCCGTCTGGCCGGCTGACAGATAAGGTGAAATGAGGCACATTCAATTTTCCACTAAATCGTATATTACGTAACGGCGGACTACTGATAGTTCATCAGCAGCGACACCTCTACCCTAAATCTAAATATTGCACACATATATACACGGGTCCAGTCTAGGAAGTAGATCCCTACTTGACAGCCACGTCAAGGGAGTCGTTAGTGGCCTGAAACTTGGTCTCTAGCGCGGTGACCACGTCGCCACAGAACTTCCGGCAGAGACCCGCATAGCCGAGGTCGCCGCAGGCCACTCGAATCGCCTTTAGGGCACTCCACAAGGCCAGCACCAGGAAAAGCACCATGCAGTACGGCTGCATGTGTGGCACAATGTTGACGTTGATCCACATCAGGGCGATCACGAATCCGGGCAGCTGTCCCATTTCCTGAGAGGGATATACAGGGATCATATCTATCACACCTAGCAGCAGCAGCAGCGGGAAAGTACTTACGAACTCATACCAAAAGCTAGGAATCATCATGTTGCTAAACCGTGTTAGGCGTGAGCTAAACCGCCTGAGATCCGGAATGGGAATGTTAGACTGGAATCGGTATTTCTCCGTAACCGGAATGCCGGTGACCGGCTCCAGCAAAATGTATGCCTCGTGATCCTCGGCATTGGGTGTGTATCCTTCGTAGTGCTGGCTCCAGTTGTAGCTGCTTCCGTAGAAGTGTGGCATCGAAAACGCAGAGGGGGCGTCATCTTTTGGGGATAGATAGTGTTGGATTTAGGTCTCCCGTTACTTAATGGCCGCAGAACCGTACTTATCACACACTGGGATACGTCAAACATTCCGTCAGGTAGCTTGACCCCGTAGCTCGTGTCCAGGCAACCGGGGGGCTTCTGGTAAGGTTGAAGCAGCGTGTAGCGGAAGGTGTCGAGGCCACTGTAGCGCTCCTGGCGCTGGTACGTCAGCGGAAGGACCCGGCAGGACTCGATAGCCACGATGTCTAGCGGCGTATCCGGCTGGACAAAGGGCGGAAAGAGAGAGTTGTCCAGCGCTCCGGACACGTTAAAGGGGCAGGAGTTGGAGTCGTACCGACGGGTGTGCGGAAGCTGTTCCCGGATGATCACCTCGTCGTTAAGCGTCTCGATGCGAAAGAAGTTCTCAATGCCGCGCTCAGGGCCGATGTTGACCGTGTAAACCTCTTCCTTCTCCTTGAGAGCCTGCGGGAAAGTCTTAGCGGGACACAAACAGGGCAGGCTGCCGGATAGGCGTGGCACTTACGTTAAAGAGAACAGCAACGTTGGGTCTTATGTTGGAGATTCGGGAGAGCGTTTGCAGCAGGGGACGCGTGAACTCCCACAGGAAGTAGTAAATGCTGTCTGTAACAAATATATCCTCCATCATGAGCGCGGCATCAAACCCGAAGGCTGCCAGTGGCGCCGTATGCTTGACCTTCGTCGCTGCGCCCAGGATAACATTGTTTGTGGACGTAATGGTCCAGTTAAGGACGTCGGGAGCCACACTCTCCTCCGGGAGGAACTCCACTACGCGGTAGCGGTGCTTGCGATACTTAACGTTCGTCTCGTTGCGATCTAGGATGTCGTTGAACCCGACGATCCTGTACACGATGGGGCCGATCTCCTTTACCTTAAGCCTATTATCACGACCGCTGCGGAACTCCTCGGCATTGGTCACGTTGAAGACATAGCTCTTCAGCTTCCCGAACGGCGAGTTTATCCAGCTGTCCATGGTGGGCATCTCCTGGCGGAAGCGTATATGCTCCCTAGCAACCAAGATGCGATAGTCCACCCCACAAGACACCACGAAGAGGAATACACTGAGGCCTGCGAGGATCAGGCAGAGCAAGATTTTCACCCACTGAACTGGCTTCATTATTTACTAGGGACGGTTTTGACTGAAACCAAAAACGGGAGTGATTCGCGTCCGATCGGGGGAAAACACGCGATCCGTTTGAGTCCAATTCTAAACGCTTTCGGCAATGGCCGTGCAATCACTTATCACCAGCCTCCGCCTCCGCCTCCGCCTCCCATTTGCTTCTCTTGTTTCATTTGAATCAAAATGGAATGAAAACAAAGTTTATAAAATGAAATAGCAGAAAGGTTATCACCAAAGCAGCGGGAGCAGATGCTACCAACACTGGGAATAGCAGTGATAACGGCGGACCTCTGATCCTGGCATATAAAATGGTCATAACGCAGATTGCCCCGAGGGATGGGGACTGCTTCACTGCCTCCACAGATGCCCCTCTCGCCGGCAAGACCCCACCGGGATAGCGCTGACCTTGATCGGGAGCAGGTGTGGCTGACCTACCATTGAACAGGCGACTCTGCCCTGGGGTTTGGCAAAGCCGATCTAGCTTATCAGCCACAGACAGATCAATCGACTCTTATCGGTGCCGCGGGCAGCCAAACGTGCAACGGAACAAATGACTGGCCATTAACGTCTGGCTTTGGCTGGTCTGTGTGATCTACCCGGGCTCGGAATCTCGTATTTCGTATTTATAGACAACGTAGTGGCGATGCTCAGAATCCGGTCTAGTTCATATGTCCGTCTACAGAGTTCGACGTGAAAATCAAGAGTAAAAGAACCATTCACTTAATAATATAATATATAACGGTCAATAAGCGAACTAATTTCATGGCGCTAAAATTATTTTTAATGTGATACGTATAAATTAGCCTTAGGGTAATAATTAATGAAGGATGTATCAATCATTACGAACCGTATATTTAAGAAAGGATAGGAGACTTTCATTACACTAACATTTTAATGAGGTTGCTCGGTTATACATTAGTTTTGCATTTTAACAGTCTCTAAAATGTAGATAAACAATTTTGAAAAGTCTATATTAGAATGAGCAGTTTTAACTTTCCCAGGTTTGACATTTCTTGGGATTGCATACTTTTGGGATTGAGCGGGAAACGTCCAATTGCTGAATTTGGGATTGAAATAACTGGCGAGAGTTAAGCCATAAACAATTTTAGTTTTAGACTAATAATAAACATTAAATTTCATGTTGGAATTTATCGGATAAATTCCTAGACTCCTACAAACAATGCATATGGGAAATGGTTCCTTACCTGATTTAAAATACAACTGAGTTATATTTATAACACCCATTTATAATAGGCAGTTAGATTATTTTCAAAAATGTATTTCCCAATACCATTACACTAAATATTTTTGCGCGCAGTTGGGAATTAAGTTTTGCATTCATTGGTAATTTTGAAATCTGGATAGCAATGCTCATTATAAAAGGCACAGCTTGCGCAGCATTCATACATACATGGATTGAAGATCTTTAATTAAAATAATATCGTAATTTATTGTACACATTAATGAATATAAATCGTACATTAGATCGATAAAGTTATGTATTTATAGAATATAAATTTCAAATGCGGAGCGTGTCCAGCATTTGGTCTAATAAAGCACATTTGTATTCGAGGACGGAACTTTGTTTTATTTGAGAAACGTTTCGAGTTCTGTGACTTGATTGGACATTAAATTTCATTTCAACAGGGTTAAAGAAAGCAAGTACGGGATCGGTTTCTGTTTTGGTATAACAAATATTGCCTAAGTCGAAGCTTTGAGCCCTTAAGCGATCACGACTGTATCGTTAGACTACACATCAAAATTTTCATAACGCTTACTTACGAAGATAACCTACATACAATACAATAGATACAGATACAGATACACATACAAATACATACAAGTCTTCCCAGCTCCATTTCTTTTTAACTACATAGACGCACCTTCCTCTGCGGGATGGGATTGGGGTTGACATAGGGAGTTCGGAATGGGAATCGTTATGGGGATTGGGAGTGGGAGTGGACGTGGAAGTGGAAGCGGAAGAGGACGGGCAGGTCCCTGTTACTAGCTACGGCTTATACTACACGAAGTCACCCAAAGACCCTCGTACTGCGACCAGACACCGACTAGAGCGCCTAGTATCTGGCGGGTTGGTTATCCTTGTTCTGCTTCTTGTTCATGTCCACCTGGGCGGTGGCCAGGTAGTTGGACCCCTCCAGATGCAGGGTGCTCTGCCGGTGCGAGTTGCGGATCAGGCAGAAGGTCGACAGCAGTAGTAGAATCACTCCTAGCGTGCATAGACCGACGATTAGAGCCACGCGGATCTTCGGTGGCACCTGCTCCGCGAAGCGCATCAGGTCGGTGACCTCGTCGGGCAGGTTGTCGATGCCCTCCTCGAACCAAAGGATGGGAAAGATGATGTCCGGGAAGTTGGCTACCTGCTTGATGTCAAACACCTGGCTAACGGCCAGATTGATCTGGATACGGGCGCGAACTCTCAGCGTAGTTCCCATTTTCTGCGAGAAAATTGAGTAAGTATACGGTTGGCAGATAGATTTTCTTTGGGTCTCACAGGCTGAACGTCGAAGAAGAACTGATGCTTTTCTTTCATAGGTGGCGAAATACCTTCTACTTGCGTCCTCAGGCTTTCATCGGCCAAGTAGAAATGCGGGAAACTTAGCATGATGGGAGAATCTGCAGAGAGCTTTACGTTTGAATCTGGTCGGTAATGGAGTTCCGCGTTCATTCTCACCGTACTGACACAGCGAGACGTTAAAGAGTCCGTTGGGGGAGCAGGAGGGCTTGCCTGCGGGGCAGAAGCACATGTTGTCGGGGTGGCTGTCCACGTCGGCGAAGACCCACTCTGGTGGGGTGAACCGGTAGCCGGGCACCTCGTTTGAAGTCATTACCTCTTTCTCAAACACCAAGGGCAGGAGGCGGCACAGATCCTTGTCATAAACGTGCAGGATGCGATCGTGGTCAATGTGTGGGGGGAAGATGGAGCCATCGGTTCCGGCCAAAGTGTTGCATGCGTCGGTGGTCCAGTGGGGCAGATGGGTGCGACCGTTGAAGTTGTCAATGACGCCGTATGTCCTAATGTCGTCGACACCAGTGTTCACAGTGACCCGGTCGGATGAGGTGCCGTTCTTGCCGTACAGCAGGCCGAACTCCTCGTAGGGCAGCTTTTGCTCCTTGGGCACGACATCCTTCGCCAGCTTGAGCAGCGGATCCTCGTAGCCCCAAAGCAGCTGACCCACGGACACCTGAACGAATGGCTTGATCTTCAGAATGTCCATGATGCTGGCCATGGCCAGGCGCAGGAATCTGAACCAAGAAGTGCACGGTCAAAATGGGCACACACTTTTCAGCGGAGCAGTACTTACCGGGCCGCGTGCTTACTCTGCGATGTGGCACTCAGCATGGGAATGTTGGGTACAATAACCACGTCGTCTTCGGGCCCCACCGACAGATCTTCGCGGAACGAGTAGATCTTGCGGAGATTGTAGCTCAGCGTGCCATTGTCATTCTCTACGATGTTCACCTTCTCCCAGGTCTCGCTGCAGATGAGGTAATGGATTGAGCCAGATGCCTTTTATGCATCAAATTATGATCTCTTACCTGTAAACGTAGGGTCCCACCTCATCGACAATGGCCTTGGAGCCGTTGCTGAGGAAGTCGTCCGCATTGGTGACGTTGTAGATGTACAGACTGATTCTGGGCTCCACTGGGGGCTTGGCCCACCATCCGAAGGTCTTGGCGCCGGGACGCAGCGCCACCATTCGGTCCACGACCGCATCGATCAGCACGGTGAATTCACAGGCCACCACAATGCCGCCAATTATCAGCGCCGCCGCGACGACAATCGTAATCCCTGAAAAACCAATGCGAATTGTTCAGCAATTGTTCACCGATTGCATAAATTACTGGATAAGTGGGGTGAGTCATTTGATATTGGGGAGGGAAACTGCCTTTGATCGGAACTCATATTTGAGTTGGCACACGAGAGAAAACTCTCGATTACAATGTTTGGGATGGCACATAAATATTTATAGATCGCCGATCGAGCTGCGAATGAATCACTGACCCTTTGACCTTTAACTCCCAGCTCCACAATCTCCCATTATCGATAAATACGGCCAATTAGTATTGATTGAATAACTATACCCCAGAACTGGAAAGTCTAGTTGAAACTATAACCGGATTCCGAGTATGCCTGCCAGAAGAACTTCGGAAATAAGACAATTGTGGAAGAGGGAATGCTCGGGTAAATAGGAACTCATCTGGCATCCAGCTCATCTCATACATTTGAACTCTGTAATAACTAATAGTACTTCCGCTCGGATACCAGTCCAACCAGTCGAGTTAGTAGGAACTCTACTTTCGGTTCAAAACAAGAACGTGGCACGTGGAGTTATCCATGTGTTACCTATGCGATAGCTCTGAGTACCTGGGAATCCACTCCAAATGCGTTGTGGCTAAGTTGTTTGATTGGTTTGTTACGATAACAATCTGGAAATTTATATGGTAATTTCTTGCATGGGAATGATGTGGCGTTTTGGAATTAACCCACAGCTCTTATCTAAGCCTCGCTATGGAATACTTACACCATTTTCGCAGATAGGTGCTGGAGAGTTTTGTGCAAAACTTGTGTTTCGGGCCGTTCATGTTGACCAGGTCGGTTTCAGGGTCTGGGGTGCTGGAGAGTGAAGAGCGAACCGCCTTGCAGTTGTTAACTAAAATGCAAAATAAAATTATACATGAAGCATATCGCGCTGTTTTACGGAGACCTAGAGATACACGGACACACTAGCCGTAATACCGGTTAAATTGCAGTCTCAGCTCGTTTTAATCTATAATTGCCAGTGGCAGCCAGCCAAACAGGAAAGTAATCATTCAATACCGCATCTTGATCACTGCGTTCTGATCTGAATGACATTGGGCCTAGGCCCAATGACTCTCGGATTGCGATCATTCTTTTAGTTTTGCCCAATCTTTCCATTTCCACCGCTCGTATTTTAAAGAGAAGAGAAGCGAAGAGCAGAGGGGAGAAGGCCCAAAGACCCCAGACACGTTTTGGGGCGTGTTAGCCTTGTGCTGCCGTGACATCGCTTTGTCAATATGCGGGCTTTAGCCCGAAATCGTATTTATCGCAGCACAAAGCCAGAAACCAATCCGACGGTCCAACCCAACGGCGCACTGGCTCCAGAACCTTCGAGTCAGCAAACTTTGTTCCAGCAGTCGAGTGCGCCCTTCCTGACAGCCACGGACCTTGCGCCATTAAGCGCTTTTAATGGGCCAACAGGCTCAGTCTCCGCTGAGGTTAACCTGCGAGTTACCTTGACCGAGGCCAGAGCTGCGCAAGCGCGCAACCTATGAGATACTTGTGTCTGCGTTCGCAAGCCGAGACATTTTTATTATTGACGATTCCAGCCACAGCGCTGTGCGCCATTATTCATATTCATACGTGAAGCCAAAAAAATGGAAAAAACAATGCAAATGAAGCGACATGAAGCCAAATGGATTTCAGCTAATAGCCAGCGGGCCATTTGCAGGCGTCGCACGGCCATAAACAATAGAAACACTTTAATTGCGTCCTGATCGAGTGGTCCCTTGACGTTCGATTCAGTTCCTCCGGAGTGCATACAAACGGCCGCTTATCTCTGCGGTATGGGATACACGGCGTCCAGATGGAGTTGTGTGGCGCGAGGCGAGAATGGCTAGTGATTCTACGATTTCTCCGCTGTTTTAGCTAACAGCGCTAAACTTTGCACTTTGAGTTCGCTCTAGCCCATCAACGCACACAGCCACGAAGTTTATTTGCCGAGTTTACTGCGCTTTCCGAGCACCACAAGGTCGCACTGCTCCGCTACTGGCCCTGCCCGAGCTGGGCTTAAATATGTGTGCTGTTGTATTCGGCTGGCTATTGGAGCCACCATTGTTGGCATCGCCGATGCCCATTGAATACTAATTAACCAATAATTATTTCACCTCAAATGAATTTTCGGCGACACTGGTCAGCCAGGCCATTAATCAGTGATTTCAAATTCGGATTCAGCTGTTTGGCTCTTTGCCTGCTAATTGGGTTCTGCGTTCATGCCCCACTGGGCTGCTTTGCTCCGAAAAGTGGCTGCAACCCTGCAGTTCCAGTCGGTCCCAAATGTTTACACAGACGTGTGAGTCAGCGGCGCCAGTGTTTACCCAGAACTTGAGCAACTCTTATCAGCCCCAAGCTCGCCGCGAAGTATGCAAATCTGGGGAACGGGAAACCGGAGACGCAACAACACCTTTCCAAAACAATCGCGCTCTTCGGCATTCCATCCAAATGCGATTTCTGATGTAATAGCTTGTTTTATTTTTGATTTCACTGGCTGTGGCACTGGCTGTGGCTGTGGCTGTTCAATTAGCAGCTGCTGGCTGCCTGGCCAGAATCCAACTTCAATAGAAACTTA